CTCCTACAATTGTCCTCAGAAAGCTTCACCATAGATATGCTGGGGAGATAACTAGAAACAAAATATTCTCCCACCTTCTCGTGGATAGCACTGTGCCTCCAAAATATGTACTTACTTAGAGGGTATAACTCAGGGGTAGAGCATTTCACTGCAAAGTATGTATTTACTTAAAAGGACCATGAATTTCAGCAAATCAGTTATAATGGACAATGTGGCAGTTACATACTGATTCTTCATGATCTGATGAACCCATCAGTTTTAAGAGGCTTAAGGACATCTTTAAAACAACTTGGATCCTTGAATCAATCCCCTTCCTCCCCAAAAAACCCCAACCAAAAAGCTCACCAAACAACAAAACAATTTCAGTTGGATAGTTGATAAACGCTATAATGGTTCCCCATGGTGGACAGGGTTTGGTAGAGCTCCCCGATTAAAACAAGCTCAGAAGCAGGAATGGCATCCACTTCCGTAATAGCTTGCCTCTGGAAACCCTATGAAGCTGGAGAAAGGACAAAAGTTATACACGTAAAAAAAAAAAAAAAAGTTATACACGTGTCCAGGACTTTTGTTCCGAGGGTTTCTATGAGTCGCCTATGACTCGATGGTACTTAACAACAACTACAACAACAGTTGGTAAAAGAAATTATTAGTAATGGGAATTTTATTGGAATGTTACAAAGGAAAGACTAGAAGATATTTAATAAACTATGGAAAAAGTTCCATTTAAGTCTGTATAATACCTTGGAAGCAGGAGTGGCATCCATTTCTTAAACAACATGCCTCTGGAAACTTTGAGAAATGATGACAGTTATATAGAAAGGCTTCAGGTCTTTTGTTCATAGGGTTGCTAGGAGTCATGCTCAACTCTGTGGCAATCAACACCAAAAACAACAGCAACAATACAAAACCACTTTGAGAATACTGAACATCAATTGATAAAAAAATGGAAAACTTCTGCAGATAATTTAATTATAGGTGTGCAGTTTGATATAAATCCACAATGAATGTTTTTAAGGTACATTTTGTTTTAAAGAATGTCCAAGTTTATAAAGAAGTTACAACAAAGAAAAAAAATTTGTGGCATAAATATCTTAAAATCTTTTCTATTTGTGAAAGAAATTAAGTGCAAATAAAAAATGCATTTTGGTCCTGACAGGTGGGCTGTTCTCTGCACATGACAGGCCCCAAAGACACATTCACTATTATTTTAAGCCAGAATATTCACATTTCTTGTCAATGCTTCATTTCACTGCACGATCCTTATTGAAAATATTTGTGCTCAGTTTTCTGAAGCAATTTTTGGAAAAGGTTGTGTTATAGCTATGAAAAATAATTTCATATGCACACAAAAAATGCTCCAAATCACTCCCAACTTTGGGCACTGTTGAAATAGAAAATAAAGTTAATGATCTTGTATTATTTGCCAAATCTCATTTGCCGAGTTATGAAAAACTTATGAAAAGATTTAGTCTACTGCTGACTGCAATTCCAAAACTTTCTTAAAACTCAGAGGAATGCTTGCCAAATCCTCAATAAACACAGTAAAAAGCAGCAGGTAGAGTAATTTATTTTTGTGCATGTCTTTTTGACCACAGTTATCCTGTATACGAACAGGCTGGATGAGAATATTTTTGTGACCTACCTGTAGACTAAGGTGTGCTGATTCAGGCCATGGTCTTCACAATTACTTGCTATGCTGCAGAGAGCTGGACAATGAACAATGACTAAGGATAACAAAAGACGAATTGATGCCTTTGAGCTGTGGTGCTGGAGAAGAGTCTTGAACATAAACATGGACCACCAAAAAAACAAATAGGTCTGTCTTAGAGAGAGAAAAACCAAGTTTCTCTTTGGAAGCTAGGATTTTGAAGCTGCATCTCACATACATGTGGCCAGGTAGGACCAGACCTTGGAAAAGGACATCATGCTTGGAAGGGTGGAGGGACAGTGCAGGAGAGAAAGACCCTGGACGAGATGGATTTGATACAGTGACTGCGGCAATAGGGGTAGGTGTGTCAGAGTCAGCGAGACTGGTTTAAGGCAGGCAGGCTTCAGAGCTGTTGTACATAGGGTTGCTAGGAGTTGCAGGTGACTCAACGGCACATAACAACAAAAACAGCAATACCAATCAATAATAATGATTATTACAAATGAATAAATATGCATATTTTAATTGTAATCAACAGCATTAAGTAAATTAGTTGTGAAAAGTAAGAGGAAAAAAATGAGTATTCTGTTAATGACAATTATCAATTCGATGACAATGAGCTTGGATTTTTACATTTTTCAATATGTACGTTACCTCTTTAAATGTGATATTAGTGATGTTACAGAATAAATCAGGATTTACTTAACTTGGACAAATGCAATTTTGAAATATTTGTTTCAAAGTCAAACTAATACTACCAAAAAAGAGAAATTTGTTTGGTCAATGTGGGTACAATGATTAATGGAAAATGACTTTTGGGACTCTGTCAGACTGATGGAAGCCTTTTAAGTTTGCTTGGAACAACTCAGATATGGGGGGGGGTTACTTTTTATTTTATGAAATCTAAATATAGATCTTGGAGGCTAGGATTTTGAAGCTCTGTCTCAAACCAGGAGAGACCAGTTCTTGGAGAAGGACATCATGCTCAGAAGGGTGGAGGGACAGCACAGGAGAGGAAGACCCTGGATGAGAAGGACTGATACTGTAACTGGGGCAGTGGGGGTTGGTGTGTTGGAGTCAGTGAGACTGGCTCAGGACAGGGCAGGCTTCAGAGCTGCTGTACATAGGGTTGCTATGGGTCTCAGGCGACTTATCAGCACATAACAACAAACATAGATCAAGTATTTCTGATGAAATTGTACCATCTGAATTGAAATATGTTACAAACATACAATCTATAGCTGATTAGAAGACTTGTTTGAAAAAGAAATATAAAATGTGTCTGCTAATTTTCAAAGAATCACCAGCTGGTGAAATAACGTGTGGATATACGGTGACATATGATCAAGAGGAGATTCCAAGCCTTGTATGATCAAACAATATGCAATCTGTCCTCTATTAATACATTCTAATTATTTATCAGACGGTGAAAGGATAACATTTCAGATACAATATATTATATAAAATATATTAGAAGCTTAATGATTGAAACTAACATTCGTGTCACCTGTTTCTTTCTTGCCTTTTAAAATATGGCTCCTGGGAAATTGTAAAGGACATATCTGGCTCACATGTATTTCTATGGGATGGTGCTGCTCCAAATGGCTGTATCTTATCCTTCAACTGTCCACCCTACTAGCTCTTCCTCTGACCTCTTGGAGGAGGAGGAGGAGAAAGAGGAGTAAGACATAGCACGTTTCATCGCCTGCAGCTGTGTCCGCTTGTGACAGATCTACTGTCTGGATGCTTGCCTGGAACCGAAGTGGTAAACCCATCGTGCTTCATAGCTGATCAGTGTTTTGTGAATGACAATGAAAAAAATGTTTTTCTGCAAAACTTTTCTTGATAAAACTGTGGACACACACACACACACACACACACACACACACCCCTAGGTACCCATGATGGAAACAAAAATATGAAGTACTTATCACAGTGAAGAACAGGCTTCCACCTCTGAGAGGGAAAGTTCCAACGCTGCTCCCTCCACCTCAGCTTTCCATCTTCATACTGCCCACATCTCTATCCCCAGCTGCCAAGACTCTGACTCCACACAGACTTTGTTCCCACCTTTCACTTAACCAAATCAAATAAAAACTCAACTATAAAGAGCAAACTCATTGCCCTGAGTTGATTACAACTCACAGTAACACTGCAGATCAGAGTGGAACTGCCCACATCAACACACGTGAACCAGTCACCTTTGAAGCACAAGGGGAAAACAGGGATCTGTGCTTTTAAACCTCCAAGCCTCCCCCTTTCCTGTCCCTGAAGTTATCATGATTGCCTTTCCCACGTCTTAGTGAAAAGAAGGAAACCCTTCAACAAGATGCAGTAACACCCTGGTTTACAGGCTGACCACACCAGCAGCCATGAGGGAAGTGTGCTCTGGACACGTTCTGGCCTATGGTCCACAGTGTATTAACCACCCTTACATCCTAAGTGCAAGGACTTAGCAAATAGCCCTTTTAAAAAAAAATTATCTGATATACTGGGAAGGAAAAAGATGACTCAAAACATACAAAAGAATTAGTGTGAAATTAAAGCCCCTTTTCTGAGTGTGTGTGTGTGTATGTGTTGTGGGGCGATTCAGGGGCAGATAACAAAGACCACACTGATCAATTTTAATATTTCATTTTTAATTTTTCTAATAGTACATTCTTTAAAAGAAGTTAACAACTTCAATTCAAATATAAGGATTAAATAATGCCAATGAAAAAAGCCATCATTTTCTGTGAAACTATTGCCTAATTACCCTGAAAAGAAGTAGTCTCATGATTGAACAGAGGCAAAAATCCTTTAGAAAAGTTTCATTTGTTGCCGGTAAAGTCTTCTTAAGGTCACTTTAACTTCTCGGACCATCCCCTTGATTCCAGTGAAAACGCTTGCCTGGTAATGGCTTGTGATTCCACAGTGTTTCGTGTGTGAAAAGCATAGACTAAGAGAAGAGAGACTATGGAAGTCGTCCAACTGTAGATTCGGCCACAGGAAGTCCCAATGCCATAACATGTCCCATCCACTTTCAGCAAGACACAACGAACAGAAAACACAAGTCCCTTCTTAGCCACTGAGAGGCCACCCTGGAAGTGGCGGTCAGAGGCTGCAGCACACCCAGGTGCAGAACAGAGCTTGTGCGAGTCCCAGTGTGCTTATTCGGTCAGCCACCTACAGGTCCCGAGTGTCACAGACAGTAGCTCCGGTGGCCATTCCCCAGGCTCCAAGGGCTGGGACAGCGGCCCTCACCGCGGCCTCCTGTGCAAGGCGGAGGGGAGGAAGCGTGCTCCCAGATGGGAACAGAGAAGCCGACGACAGAAGGGAGGCCTCGGACCCTTGGCCTGGTCCAGGCTGGCACTCACTGCTGTTGGGACAAGAGGGCACTCCGGTTGGCCTTCATCTTTTCCAGACGCTTCACTAAGTGGCCATTGCTGACCTCAAGCTCTTCTGTTTTGTCCAGTGCTGAGCGAAGCTGCGAATGAAGAGGAAAGCCTGTGAGCCCTGGAGAATGTGTGTCCTCCAGTTGGCCAGGAGCCCTGGTAATGCAGCACCATCAGGTCAGGGGTTCAAACCCACCAACCCTCACTGGGGATAGAGATGAGGCAGTCGCCTCCCAGAAAGTGTCCAGCCTTGGAAGCCCTTTGGGTCTCTCCTACTCTGTCCTCCAGGGTCACTATGAATCAGAACTGACTCAAGGGCAGTGGGGAGTGGGTGGTGCTGTCAAGACCCCAGTCCTACTAAAAATGTTTCTATGGTATCACTCAGACCCACTGAAATCCCAAGTGCACATTGACACAGGTGTGTTTATGTTAGGCATTTTTTTGGACAAAAATTTCAGATTCCATTAAAAACCACCACGGCCGATCTATGTTCAGTATGTTATTTCATGTTATTGTCATGACAGATGGTTAAGTGTCATGATACATGAAGAAGAAACTGAAGATGCCAATGTGTTTATTCCATTTGAAGCAACTATCAACGTTCGTGGAATAAAGGAGATCAAATGTTGTAAGGCACCAGAAAAATCAGCTGCCAAAGATCTCTTTAGTAAGCTGTAAAAGTTAAAGATGTCATCATGATGACAAAGGGATGCATGGCCCAAGCTACAGCCTTTTTAATTGTTGCCTCTGCACGCGATGAGTTGGGGGCAGAGATTCATTCTGTTGTGCATAGAGTCACCAGGAGCCGGCTAGATGGTGCTGATGGCAACAACCACAACCACAACAGGCATGCAAAAGCTGGACAATGAGAAAGGAAGACAGAGACGGAAAAAAAGACGTGGCGACTTTGAATGACGTTGTAGAAGGACTTCTTGCAAGCAAAGACGGTGAGACTTTGGCTCCCACCCCCTGGACATGCCATGAGGAAGGATCAGTGGTTAGGAAAGTGCAGGGTGAGTGAAGATGGAGCGGCCCTCGGTGAGATGGACTGACAATCACCACAGCGGGGATTCAGCTGAAGACGGCGAGGACTGGGCACCGTTTGGCTCTGGACCGAACAAGCGCTCCAGGAGCCCAGCCAACTTGCCACCAACTACCAACAGCGTGCTACTTTCTGATGGTGGGGACGACACCGCTGTGAACAAGCTCATGGGGGGCTTACCCATACCACCCCCTCCCTCCGTGGGGCTCCCATCACTAACCACCCTTTTTCTGGAAAAGCCTAAGACATCTACCTCTCTTTGGAGCTTTCGTTTCTCAGCCTTAAGTTCATCTTCTACTTTTTCTGCATTTTCAGCAGCCGATTTATAACGGGACACTTGACTCTCTAACCTGATTACCTAGAAGAAAAGGAAACCACAGGCAGAAGAGATCAATAGGCCTGTATTCTTCCTCCAAATGCTTTGCTACGTGAGAAATCAAGAGTGGGCTTTAATACAAGGAGCGACTATGCCATGCACACGATAGTAAGAGCCGATGGCTCCCGGGGCTCCAGCCAAGCAGGCCGTTTGCAATTTTCGGTGCTCACTTTCTGGTGTCCATAGGGCCTTCTTTCCTCTTGGACCCTGGTCTAACTGCTGTTTCTGCAGCACTGACCCCTTGCTGCCCTCACTTCCCACCTGCCCTTTCTGGGATCATTCTGTTGGACATGGGGTAAGTCAAGGCAGAATGATGCTGGAAGACCCTCAGCTCTACTCCCCTGAGGGTGGTGGGTGGGGCAGAGGCGAGAGAGGAGGAGAGACAGACAGAAACAACAGAGAGAAAGTCCTAGGAAGAAGCCCTGTGGCTCTGCGGTCAGAGGTTGGAGCCAGGAGCCTAGCTGTCTAGAGATGTAAATCCCACGGGGTCAAAGCCTGCGTCCGCATCACAAAAAGTCGCTCTTTCTCATTCTACAACAGTGGCACCATAAAGCATTTGTCCCTTTGTGACTGAGATACCTCACTCAGCATCCTGTCCTCCAGGATCACCCATTTTGAATAATATTGCATGAGTTCCTTGTTTTCCAATGCAGTGTAGTAGAATGAGGCTGACATCGGGGTGGGGGTAAGACTGAGAAAAACTGGATGAATTATGTTTACTGCATTGAAGGCTACGGGGGAGAGAATAGTTTAAAAGTATATTTTAGGGCATTATGTTTATCATAAGAGTACGGAATGAGGGTTGCAGAGTGGATTATATTTGGGGTTGGGGGATGTGCGGGGGGGATTGTGTACCAATGAGGGAGTTTTTCTTTTGCTTTTCAAGGAGAGGAGCAAACGGGGGAGGGGAGGGGGGGAGGGGGGGGGGCGGGGAGAAGGGTGCAACAATGCATGAATGGAATTCCAAAATCTCTGTAGATGTTCATTGAAATGAAAAATAAAGTAATTTTTTTAAAAAGTCGCTGTTTCTGTGGGTGCTGTTCTCATTTCTGGTTCTAGAAGAACTTTGGGAAGTCCTAAAACATTTCCTATATCCACAACTAAAAAGGGAGAAAGGTATCTCTTTTTTTCCTTCTCCTTGGGCAAGGCCAGAGGCCCTGGGGGTGCAAGTGATGAATACATTGGCTGCCAATCAAAAGACTGAGGTTCAAGTCTATACAGGGGTGCCTCAGGAGAAAGGCCTGGTGGAGAACTTAAAAAATAAATAAGCCCCTGAAGACCCGACAGGGCACAGTTCTCTCTGGGGCACAACGTGAGGCTTCCACGGGTGATGTCCACTCCACAGAAAAGGGCTTCTGCTCGGTGAGGACACAGCATACTGGGGTTCAGCAAACTGGAGGCATAAATGCCTCAAATGGGGAAACTGGGGGTGGTGGGGTAGTCTGCCTGGTTGGAGAGAAAGGCTGAAAATTCACACAGAAGGAGGTCCCAGCAGAAGCGTTTTCAAACTAACAGAATTATTTTTAGAATAATGATCTTACTGAAATCTCTCTGCTATGTTAGGTTCTTCCTACCACAAACCACTGTGGTTAAATCGCTCAGAGGAAGCGTACAGGACTGAGCAAGACTGTTCCCAGCATTTCCAAAGCCATATCCTTAGGGAAGAAGACCTTCACATCCTTCCCCCTAGTGCAGCTGGTGGGCTCAAACCATCAACCTTCTCATTAGCAGTCAAACGCTTTACCCACTCTGCCAACAAGTCTTATCTTTCCAACAACTAACTCCTGCTTAGGGAAGACCGGTAGCCACTCGAGTCCCCAAACTCTAGCATTCCCTTCCATTCTCTACCTGCCTTATACCTCCCTCACAACCTCTCGGTGGTAAGAAATGTCTGCCTCTCGTTGCTCTCAGCCCTCAGTGGCTATTTCTTGCCCATCAAATGAGATGGTCATCAGGGTAGCTGGCCATTACTGATCAAAAGTGTCCACGTACATTTTGCTCTAACGCAGTTATCTCTTGCTCAGATTTTGCAAGTTTAAATTTGAGGTCGCTGATCTGTCTGTTGGCATCCCCTACAGGGAAAGAGAAGGAGAATCCGTTAAGCTCTAGGGCTTTTGAAAGGATAAAGCGGCAGCTACTCGGAAGCAGGCCCTTACTTTATCATTAGTTATAAATCTGAGTGCTCTGGACTGTGGCTCCAGGGACCCAGGTTAGGAGGGAACATCCCGCCCCTCTGCACAGGCCCCTGATCCCAGGTAGGAGAGCACCTGTGAGTGAAGAAGGCAGAGAAGCGGTGGAGGGGGGAAGGGGGGGGGGAAACTGAGTGTCACTTTATCACCCTTAAGCCTATTTGTAGGCCCTGGGTGACACAGAGAGTGAAGCACTTGGCTAACTGCAAAGATGCTGGTTCAAGTCCACACAGGGACACCTCAGCTGCAGGGCCTGGTGATCTACAGGTCAACAAGTCTAGCCTCTGGAGACCCTGATGATTACAGCTTTATTTGGACACCCACAGGCTTGTGATGAGTCAAAGTGGACTGAACAGTAACTGGTATTGTGTTCTGGGAGACAGCTTTTAATTTACTGCCATTAAATGATACCTCTCAAATTTTTCATATGATCAGCAGATCCAGAGACTGTTACATCCAGCAAAGGAAACATGGTCTCTAGCACAGGTTCGGGGGCATAAGGGGTACCTGCTCTACTTCACAGGCTCAGATCTCAGAGCCTGGCTCGCTACCCCTCCTGGTTCTGTTCCATAAAGAAACACCTTTGCTCTTTTGTACTCAAGAGCTTTGAGAGGCTCGGGGAATACTGGGCATTGGTTGCCATGGCAACTTCGCTCCTTCAGACAACTCTAATAAAAATAGCACACAGAGAAGCCTGTACTTTTACATGAGAGCAGACATTTACTTTGTAGATCCATGACGTGTGCATCTGTTCCATTTTCTAAGACATCATCTTCAGGCCGAAGGTTGTCCAGCTTGCCATTCCTCTGCTTCTGTTCCAGCTGCCCTTTGAGTTTCTTAACCTGGAAACGGTGAAAGAAGTTAATTTCTCTATTCTAATCAAGACTGAAAAGCTGATCTTAGAGGCTGTCAAAAGAGAACAGCAAGCAACGTGTAAATGAAAACCAACAGTATCCCACATGTATAATTGGCCCCCGACCTGCAGCTATTTAGAATGTCCTGAGGGTACCAGAAAGTCAGAGAACACTTAGAAATTAATTAAAAGGTTACAGCCCACCAAGAAGACAGCCCTTTTCTTGGAAAGGAACCTTCTGCTTGGAAAGGTGGAGAACACTGAAAGAGAGAAAGACCCCCAGTGAGGTGGACTGTTGCACTGACTGCAGTAATGGGCTCAAGTGTGTCAGAGCTGATGAGGATGGTGCAGGACAGGACCACAGGGTCACTATGAGTTGTACTCAACTTGACGGCACCTAACAACAAAAACACCGCTGTCAATTTGTAACTGACTCATAGCTGACCTTTCTTCAGTGGACTTCAGAGAGTACAAATCACATGGGAGGAGCTTTCTCCTCTTTCTCATGAGGAGCTGCTAGTGGACTTGAACTGCCAGAGAGGCGCTGCCTTTGCATTAGCAGCACAGCTCTCTACGGACTGTGCCAGAGCTCCCCCGTAAGGTGGTAATCATCATCATCATCATCATCCTTCCAGCAATCAGAAATATGACTACATAACTTCAATATGAAAGCGGCAAAATGAATATGGAAGACAAGGAAGAACTGATGTCTTTGAATCGTGGTGCTTGTGAAAGATATTAAATATACCACAGACTACCCACAGCACAACAGATCCGTATGGCAGAAGGGCAGCCAGAGTCTCTTTAGAGACAATGAAGGTGAGACTTCATCTCATCTATCTAGGGCACGTGATCAGGAGGGGCCAGTGTCTGGAAGAGGACAACATGCTTGGAATAGTCGGGGGTCAGTGGAGGAGAGGAGAAACCTCAAGAATATGTTGGCTGCAGGAAAACATTCCACCCCAGCCTGGCTCCACTCTCACAGGAGACTGCCAATGGGCCAGGAACTGGCTTTACCAGGGCACTGGGCCCCTTCTTGCCAGACATGGGATGTGGCAGATTTTTATGTCTACAGACGGGATGGAAACAAATCGATGTTTTAAGAAGTGGCTTTTCTGTAGAATGGGACTGACATCAGGGTTGGGGTGAGATTGAGAAAAATTGGATAAACTGTGTATACTGCACTGAAACAGATGAGGGAGAAAACAGTTTAATAGCAATATCTGATTGGGTATTATCATTGTGACAAGAGTCCAGAATGAAGGTTGCATAGTAGAGTGTACTTGGGGCGGGGTGGGGTGGGGCATTGTATATCAATGAAGGAATTTTTCTTTTACTTTTCAAAGAGAAGAGAGAACTGGGGGCACGGGTCGGGCAGGGATAAAAATGCAACAATGAATAAGTGAAAATCCAAAAGCTCTGTAAATGTTCATTAAAATTAATAAAAAAATGTATAATACAAAGAAGCGGCTTTTCTAACTTCAGAATATGTGCTAAGCATCTACTAATGTAAAAGAACGCATTCCCCTCTGCAGGTAGCCCTTCCTGACGTGGTAATTCCTAAAGCTCACAGCGATGGGACTGCCTCCTGGAAAATACCCCCACCATTTCTCTAGAAAAGAAGACCAGACTTTAACTCAGTTTGCCAGGAAGAAAATTTTACTTATAATGCATTTTAATTTCTCTTTCTCAAACTTTTCTGTGAATATGTCATATTAAGAGTATGTATGCTACCCCAACATAATAAAAGTTTCATGATTTGCCTGAGACCAAAACCAAACAAGCTACCATCACTATGGCGGCTGCACATGAGATACAGCAGCCAGGGACTAACTCAGCTCTCGCAAGGGAAGTGAAAATTCTACCGAGCCCCCGCTGCCTTCACATGTTCCGCTTTACAAGCATCACTGCTGTCAATCTCAATTCCTAGCAATCCTGTGGAGCAGAGCAGAGCTGCCCCATGGGGCTTCCAAGGCTGGAATCATCGTGGGAACAGATGGCCTCATATTTCTTTCCCAATGACCAGCAGGTGGACTAGAACCACCTACCTCTTGGTTTGCAGCCCAATACTTACCCACTGTGCCAGCAGGACTCCTAGGCTGTACTCAGATAAGAATATTAAGAACACAGTCTGGCTTGATAAATATTTTTCAGTATGATGCATCAGAGGTTTCTTGATGACACAAGAAGTTGCGATCTTTTAAGTTAGAAAATTTGTCACATTAAAAAAAAAAAAAAGAAGTTACCTGTTCTAGTAGGGATTCCCGCTCATCAAGCAGCTTTTTCAACCTAATATCTAAAAAAACCAGCACGACACAACTTTAGTTGCATCCATGTATGAGGTCTGAGTATACCATTAAACCAAAGAACGCTTGTTGGGGTTAGCGAAATGAATGATGGACACGTACCATGATGAATGAGGCCACAGGGCAGGGGGACAGCCAGCAGGGGAGGGCGTGGCCACCTCCCACAGCATGCTTGTCGCATCTGGAGCAGCTTCGGGGTGCATGCAAACAGGCTCATCTTCTACTTGGGCTAGCATGCAAGGACTGTAGGGTCAAACCACGGTGCAACACAAGATCTCACAGGCTTCCGGTTCACAGTGTAATCAGCCACGGACAGACAGCCCCGTGACGGGCACCAGCAGGCTCACCAGCCTTGCTTACACCCTGGAATAGCATTGCTTCACATCATCTCAGCAGGGTCAGAATTTGAACTCGATGTTCCTGAATCACAAGTCTGAATACAATATGTAGACTAACATAGCTATGCAAAGCTGTAGTTCTTTTTCAGGATATGTAGTCATTTCTTTCCCAGAGAAGCCACACTCACTGCTGTCTAATTTATTCCAATTCTTTGGTGACCCTCCACTGGGCTTCTGAGGTTGTAAATCTCTAAGGGGGATGACGGCATCATCTTTCTCTTGAGAAGCCTATGATGGATTTGAACCACTGACCTTTTGGTTAGCTTTCTGGCACCGGGGCTTTTTAGTCATAGCTAAAACAAAACAAAACAAAACAAAACAAAACAAAAAACTCACTGTCTCCTAGCAACCTTGACACTGGGCTTCTGAGGACTGCCCACCTTTCTCTTAAGGAGCTGCTGGTGGATTTGAACCACCAGTGTCACACTACCTTTTGGTTCGCTGTGCTGCTCTCTAGTGACTAGGCCAGCAGGGCGCCCGATCATAGTTTGCTGTTGTTGGGCTGGAACTGACTCCTCACTGACCCTCCAGCACGTTTTCAAGGAGAGTAAACAGCAGTAGAGGAGACTGTCCACATCTTCCGTGGAGCAGCTGGTAGGTTCGAACCACATGCCCTTGGATTGAAAGTGCAGCTCCCCACCGCTGGGCCACCAGAGTACATAGCTCAGGTGTCTATAATCCTTCTAATTCCATAAAGAGATGAGAAAAGGCAACCCCAAAGCCAACCCCCCCCCCCCCCCCCAGTCATCCCTGATTCACAGAGACTCTGCAGAACAGAGTGGTGCAAACCTGGCCTGTGGGCTCCCAGAAGGTCATTTTTAGAAGCAGGCCCTCAGGTCTCTCACCCCTCAGTGGTGGCGGATGCAAACTGCTGACCTTTTGGGTACCAGTTGAACATTTTATCCACTGCTCCACCACACGTCCTTGCACTTAGATAAGTACCTCTGCATCCTCAAACACCTCTCTCTGGTGATGAAGTTTTCAGATTTGAGATGGGAAGTCAAGAGCTGAGGTGGGGATGGGGTAGCTATCAATCCCACTGTGGTAGGGTCAAGGGGGCTGGTGGGGCTGGTAACATGCACACAGCCACACGCACTGTGTTCTCAATGCTGCACACGTTCACTGTTCTCACCCCCACAAAGCCCTGGAGGTGGCCTTGGAGATCACATGCCCTTTTACAAGTGACGGAAGACCCCAAAGTCAGGAGGGTTGGCCTCAAGGGCAGCCCTAACCACTGTGCCATCCTTCCCAATCCAACTCAGACTCCAAGCGCGACCTGGCTGCTGACCCTGGGCTCTTAATCAAGAGGGGCAGTGTGCCCAGGACTGCATTCCGTGGACGTCTCATTCTCCACACAGAACCTGGACTGGCACGTGAAACAAACAGAATTAGTGTAAGACACATCTTCATCCTAAATTACAAAATTTCTCTAACAATTCTCCCCAAAGAGAAGGCTCCATTTTGCCATTTTGAAAAGCACAATAACAAAATAAAATCAGGAAATGTTGAGCGTAAGGTAAGTTCCATTATGACTCATTCGACATTTATGACTCATCTTCAGCAGTTCACAATCAAGAGGCTTTTAACTGATGTCTCATTTTTTCCCTTTCTGTAAACCCACACAAACTGAAATCATATCATTTTGTAGTTATGAGCCCATCTCTTTCAATCAATATCACTTTTCACTTAATATTACATATTTTATATGTCAAACTCCCTCAAATTCATTGCTGTGGAGTTGAAAGCAGTCTGCAAATTGAACAGGAGGAGATTTCCTGTCTTTTCCCTTGGATTCACAGGTGGATTTAAACTGCTGGAGAAGTGTTACCTTTTAGTAGGGTATGAACGCCCTCTGGACTACACTATCACCATACACAGTATGTGTCTTTACATGTAAGGCATCAGATAGACAAGCTACAGGTGAAATACTAAAAAAGTCATTTTTAGGGTCACATGTTTATTAAGCAGTTGGATAGTTATTTTCTGTTAAAAGATGTCAAATAGCAGCTAGAAAAAAAAATAACAGTCAAGTAGAAGAACAGTGATTGTCAAAGGAAGAAGAGGGTGGGGGAGGAACCTTGAATATAGGCACTGGGACAAAAAGCAGAGAAGACCAAAACTCTTACGGAAAAGAAGGAAGAGAATAAAAATGAAATAGTCTAAAGAAAAAAGAAAGAGTAGCAAAATGCTTTAAGAAGAAGTAAGAATGCTGGAGAGCTAAGATTAGATACATGGATGCAAGATTCACACAGAGCAAGGGGGGAATTGCTACAATGTTACAATGTGATGCTGGTAACTGGTGTCATAAAACAATATGTGTATATGAGCTGTTGAATGGAAAACCAATTTATTTTGTAAATTTCACCCAGCTTGCAAGAAAAAGGTTAAAAAAGTTTTAAAACTAGAATAAAAATGTCAGCTGCCATCAGACAGTCTCTCAATACGTGGAACCCCAGGTGCTGCCGGGCAGAACAGCCTCACAGGGTCTTCTGAGACTGTATCCTCTCCTGGGGCTGACTGCCAGCCCCTTCTTGTGCAGAGCTGACTGGGTTTGAACCTGTCAATGACAGACCTCTAACCACCCAGGGATTCTATTGCTTGCAAAAGGCAGAACATGGCCAGGCTCTTCTCCAAGGGGTCTGGGAAGAGGGGAACCAGGCCTCACTCTGAGACAGTCCTGGGCTAGAAATGAGCTGAGCAGTGGGAATCAATCATAGCTTCTAAAGGATGTATCTTTTTGAAATAAGAGAACAGAGAGAAAGAGAGCAAAAGGATCTTTTCTCCTCTGAAAGACAAAGACAAGGCCTATCCACCCGTCCATCCAGCCATGCACCCACCTACCCATCTATCCATCCACACATGCGTCCACCCACCCCTTTATCTGTCCGTCCATGCGTCCGCCCACCCACTCACCCATCTACCCATCCACCTATCCACACATGCACCCACCCACTCATTCATCTGTCCGTCCATCCATGTATCTGTCCTTACATGCATCCACCCACCCACTCATCTATCCACCCCCCACCCATCTATCCATCCACCCATCCACTCACCCATTCATCTACCCACCCATCCATGCAGGCTCCCGCCCACCCATCCATCCACCTGCCCACCCACCCATGCATGCATCCACCTACCTACCCACCCATGCATGCATCCACCTGCCCACCCACCCATGCATGCATCCACCTACCTACCCATCCACCCGCCCATCCACCCATGCATGCACCCACCCCCCATCCACTCCCATGCTCATCTATCCATCCATTCAGTTATTTGATGGGTTTAGGTCACATCCTGGAAATCACTAGAAAACAGACCAACCTCTTCTTCCCTTTAATAGTGCCTGGACATTTGGAAAGAATGCTAACCTTGTGCCCCCTTGATTTGATGGCTATCGGGATGTGCTATACAATGGGTGTCTTAAGAAAGAGTCTCTCAGTAAGGAACAGGAACCTAGAGCCACTTGGACCCCCAGAGTTAACATTCTAGGGTCCCAGTGAGCACGGGGTGGACAAGTTTCCGTCATGAGGCCCTCCATAATGCAAAGTCCTAAAATGTTAGAGAAAGTCGTCAATGGCATGCAGTCTTAACCATTCTCTTAAACTCTTTGAAAAACGTTACTGCTTTCAATCTTTGTATCTTATGACAGCTTGTAGATACTATTTAACTGTCTGGCGTACTCTGATGTATTATCAGAAGGGGTTCTTCTCTTGAGAAGAACAGCGTGCTCGGGGAAGAGGAGGACGACTCTCACCAGGATGGAGTGGCACGTCGCTGCAGCAGGGGATTAAACACAGCCGCGGGCTGGCGCAGGGCATCTGCTGTACAAGCAAGTGCGGTGCCTCAGTGATTAACAACAGTAGCCAGCCAGCCAGCGTGCAAGCGGCGACCTCGTTCTGCTCTGGGGCTGAAAGGGTCTAATGTTTGAGTATAAGGCTTCCGTCCTAAAAGATCTCCTTTGCTCTTTGTTATAACAACATTTCAGAGGTCTGAGTTACTTTAGGAATATGGCTTATAGACTTTTAACTCTTGTCTGAGTTTTCTTTTTTAATATTTTCTATATTTTACATATTTTTACTCCTGCTTAGACTGAGAATATGGAAGGCAACCCTTTCTTGATCGCCGAAGGGCCTTTCTTGTAAACAATGATGAGGATGGCACTGGGCTAAGCTCTAATCTACTGTTGAAGCACGAGAACTCATGTTTGCAACGAGGCTTCTCATGACCAGGACATAGCTTTACTCTTCAGATTCTGCTGTTTTGCTACTTGCTGATTTTCAGCTGTCCCCTCCCCCCAGGGTTCCTTCCAGCTGATAAAAAGTACTGAGTCACTGAACAAATCCACACATGAAGAACGTAACTGCGATTCGGGGACAGGAAGTTTGCTTCTCATAGTCATGTCCTTGAATGAGAAGGGCAAAAAAGGAGTGCTTGGAGGGCTCAGCCACTCCGTGAATCATTCTCCAAGGGGACTTTAAGTAGGAATGTGTTCTGCTGTCATGAGGAAAGTGCTGCTTGAGGGGGAATGGCTGGACCTTTGCTGTCAGGGACCCAGGCAAAAACTCCCCTTAGTCCTTTACAGTGTG